TGGTTGGCAGCGGTGGTGGTAGTGGTGGTGGCAGGTTGTTGTGGTGTTGGGGGTGGTGGTTTGTGGCGATGGCCGAGTGGTGGCGTGGTGGTTTCTGTTCGTGGCGGTGGTGGTGGTGGCGGCGTGGTGGTTCGTGGTGGTGGTTGTGGTGTGGCGGTTTGGTGGGTTAGTGGTGGTGATACTGGTGGTGGTGGTGGTTGTGGTGGTGGATTGTTGTTGTCGTCGTCGTCGTCGTTGTTGTTGTTGTTGTTGGTGTTGTTGTTGTTGTTGTTGTTGTTGTTGCGACTGCTGCTGTTGTTGCTGCTGTTGTTGCTGCTGTTGTTGTTGGTGTTGTTGTTGTTGGTGGTGCTGTTTCGTTGTGTTTGTTGTTGTTGTTGCTGCTGCTGTTGTTGATGTTGATGTTGCTGCTGCTGTTGTTGATGTTGTTGTTGATGTTGATGTTGATGTTGTTGGTGGTGGTGCTGTTGTTGTGGTTGTTGTTGTTGGTTTTGGTGTTGTTGTTGTTGGTGGTTGTGGTGGTGTTGTTGTTGTTGTAAGTGTTGTTGTTGTTGGTGTTGGTGTTGCTGTTGTTGTTGTTGTGGTGGTGGTGGTGGTGGCGGTGGTGGTTGTGTGGTGGTTTGTGGTGGTGGTGGGTTATGGAGATGGCGGTGGTAGTGGTGGTGGCGGTGGTGGTGGTGGCGTGATGGTTTGCGGTGGTGGTGGTAGTGGTTAGTGGTTAGTGGGTGGTGGTGGTGGCGGTGTTGGCTGTGATGGTGGTGGTGTTGGGTTGTGGTGGTGGTGCGTTGTGGCGACGGTGGTGGTAGTGGTGGTGGTGGTGTGGTGTGGTGGTTTATGGTGGTGGTTTATGGTGGTTGTGGTGGGTCGTGGTTTGTTGTGATGGTGGTGATGGTGGTGGCGGTTGTGATGGTGGTGTGCGGTGGTTTGTGGTGGTGGCGATGGTTATGATGGTGGTGGGTGTTGGCGGTTGTGGTTGTGGTGGCTATGGTGGTGGTGGTCGTGTGGTGGTTTGTGGTGGTGGGTGAGGCCTTCGGGACTTCCCGTCACCGTGTCTTGGCTTTGGGTTGCAGTTCCAATGGATGTCTTCTGGGGTCTCATCAGAAGGTTCCTGGGGGCGTCTGAGGAGCATGTATGAGGGCTTTTTGGCACCTGTTGAGTGTCTTCGGGAACTTCTTAAGGGCCCCCAGCGTTTGTTAGGAAACGAAGGCTCGATATGGCAATTTATATTTTCCCGTGGCGGCTTCTGGACACTCTTTGGTCATCGTCGCTGCGGTTGCCGTTGGTGCTGCCGGCCGCCGCCAGCGCAGGCGCCGGAACCAGCACCGAGGAGAGAGAGAAGGGGGGGGAGGTTGGGACCCCCCCACCCCGGGAAGCCAGAAGAGAACATATTGGGGGAGTTAGAAGAATCTCCTGCTCCTTTCCCCGGGGGGGGCGGTTGCGGAGGAGGCCCCTGGTTCTGATCGACGGCGCCGAGTGTTGGGGGGGGGGGCCACCCCCCGGTTCGAACCGCGCTGCCGAATGCTCCCCAAGCAAGCGCTCGTAAAACGCGCTCTCTCATAGGGTACTCGTTTTGAATTGCACTGCGCGGTCCGTCCTCCCACCTCCTCCGCCCTCCTCCCCTCCTTTCCCCCTCGTGTTTCCTGCTTTGCCTCCTGCTTTATCCCAACCATCCTTGTGTTGGGCACTCGTTCTGAATAGAGCAGTGTGGCCTCCATCTCCTCCCGGCTTCCTCCCCCTTCTCTCTCTGTCTCCTACCCCTCTTCCTCGCAGTGGTGTCGTACGATTCCTACCCCTCTTCGTGGGCTCTCGGGAGGCCCAACGGAGTGCCGTCCCTGGGGGGCTGCGATCTGCGAAACTATCGCCAAATTCGCGGATTCCTGCGAGGCCCAGCAGAGTGACGTCCTACGGGGACCACCATAAGACCTCGCCGTGCGTTGGGGGGCTGCGATCTGCGAAACTGTTGCCACTTTCGTGTGCGCATCGGAAGCCCAGCAGAGTGACGTCTTACGGGGATCACCGCGAGACCTCGCCGTCCCTAGGGGGCTGCGATCTGCGAAATTGTCGCCACTTTCGTGGGCTCCCTGGGGGCCCAGCAGAGTGACGTCTTACGGGAAGCACCATGAGACCTCGCCGTCCCTGGGGGGCTGCGATCTGCGACACCGTCGCAACTTTCGTGGGCTTCCGGGAAGCCCAGCAGAGTGACGTCCTACCAGGATCACCATGCGACCTCGCCGGTCGTGGGGAGTTGCGATCTGCGACACCGTCGCAACTTTCTTGGGCTCCCTCCTGGGAGGCCCAGCAGAGTGACGTCCTACGAGGATCACCATGAGACCTCGCCATCCCTAGGGGGCTGCGATCTGCGGAACTGTCGCCTCTTTCGTGGGCTCCTGGGGAGGCCCAGCAGAGTGACGTCCTACGGGGATCACCATGAGACCTCGCCGTGCTTTGGGGGGCTGCGATCTGCGAAACTGTTGCCACTTTCGTGTGCGCATGGGAAGCCCAGCAGGGTGGCGTCCTACGGGGGTCACCATGAGACCTCGCCGTCCCTAGGGGGCTGCGATCTGCGAATATGTCGCAACTTTCGTGGGCTCCTGGGGGGTCCAGCGGAGGGGTGTCCCATGGGAACCACCATGAGACCTCGCCGTCCCTGGGGGGCTGCGATCTGCAAATCCGTGGCCACTTTCGTGGGCTCCTGGGAGGTCCAGCGGAGGGGTGTTTCACGGAGACCACTTTGAGACCTCGCCGTCCTCTGGGGGGCTGCGATCTGCGACATCGTCGCAACTTTCGTGGGCTCCTGGGGGTTCCAGCGGAGGGGTGTCCGACGGGGAGGGGGCTGGGATCTGCGAAATTGTCATCACTTTCGTGGGCTCCTGGGAGGTCCAGCGGAGGGGTTGTCCCTCGTGGCGACCTCGCCGTCCTCTGGGGTTGCGACGTTGGGGGGTCCAGCGGCGACGCATCAAATCGTCTCTCCTCATGTGTTTCTACACTTCCTCGTGGCCGCCTTCCTGCCAACAATCTGACTCTTAAGAGCGACGCCGCATATGCGAACATGCGACTCTGGCCCGACGTTTTTTGGCGAATCGTCTAAGTACACGGCGGACCCTTCTGTGCTCGCTTTTGTATTGAGCGGTCCGATGTATAGTCGCCTCATGTGAACAAAGGGTTGGGCATGTCCTTGGGTAGTTTCCCACTAGGGTATTTCTAACAGCAGTTCAGGTCTTGGAGCCGTCTTGCACCCGTCTTGGAGCTGTCTTGAGGGCCCCTTGGGCCGTCATGGGGTCATCTTGGAGGCCTCTTGGGCGATCTTGGGGCGACCTTGGGGGACTCCTGGGCCGTCTTGGGCCGTCGGAAGGCTGGAAAGAGGCAAATGCCGAAATCCTCAAAGACCGTCGGAAAATCCATGATTTGGGCCTCTTCGGGCCTTGCTGGAGGGCCTCTTGGAAGCCCCGTGGGCCGTCTTGAAGGCCTCTTGGGGGCCTGTTGGGCCGTGCTGGGCAATTTTGAGGCCAGCTTTAGGTTATTCGCCCGTCCTGGAGACATCTTGAGCTCTCTTGGGGGCATTTTAGCAGTCTTGGAGCCCATCTTGGCCGTCTTAGAGGCGTCTGGGGACCATCTTGGAGGCCATCTTGGGCCATCTATCTGGGACGTCGTGGAGCCGATGGGGCCAACGGAGAGCGCAATTCGGGAGTTCTTCGGGGCGCCGGCGAGTTTGGCCGAAGCCTCAGTAGGAGTTTTGAAAAGACACGGAAAGCATTAGACATCATTTAAAACGCCAGGCACCCGTGTTGCAAGCCACAATAAAGAGGAGGGCCAACCGAAGAGAACCTTATTATATATACACACACGTATATATATCTATATATATATGATGGTCTTCGGCCCATTTCGCCGACGTATTTGGGTTGTAGGTCAGAGTCCTCGTGGATGCTTCTTGGGGTTTCTTCTGAGGGCTCTCGGGGGCCTCTGTTGGGTAGTTCTGACCCCGAGGGCCCCAAATCCTTCGAAAATCATAGAAAACCGTTCGTGTTGAAGAATTCCCCTGTTCATTGCCGATGGGCCTCGGAGGCCTGTGGATGGCCCCCAAAACACCCAGAACGGTCCCACGAGCAGCCCCAGACGCGCCCCAAGATGCTTCCCAAAGGGCCCCGAGATCCCCAAATCCTGCAACATCTATTGGAAGCCGTGCGTGTTTGAAGAACTCGCCTTGTCACTGCAGATGGACTTCAGAGACCTCTGGATGGGCCCCACAACGACTGGAACTGCCACACGAGGAGTCCCAGCTGCTTCCAGGACGACTTGAAGAGCGCCAAAAAGCTTCGCAAGACAGGTCCACAACGTCCCCGAATGGCCGCAAGACAGCTTCCGGGCCCGCCAAGACGGTTCAAGACGGTCCCAAGGGGCCCCAGACCATCAACACGCCTCCACGACGCCGCCAAGAGATTCAAAGAGGTCCAGAACACGCCCTCAGAGGCTTCCCCGAGGCACCCCTGAGGAGTGGGAGTGCCTGCGCGGTGCTGTCTCGTCTGATCTCTTACGTTGCCCCGCTCGAGTGCGTGAGCCTAGGCCGGGCCATGGCCCCGGGCGCCGCCACCGCGCTGGCGGTGAGCGCTGCGGTGGGCGCGCCTGCGGCCTGGGCGGGGCTTCGGCTGGCGGGCGGCTGGCGGGCGGCGGTGGTCGCAGCCTCGACCACCTGCCCGGCCTGCATCTGCCACGCGCCCGCGTGGCCGCCTTCGCCGCCGCCTCCGCCGCCTCCCCCGACGGGGCCTGGCGCGGAGGGCATCGCGGCGGCGGTCCCTCCCCCTTCCCCCCCTCGCCGCCCTCCTCCTCCCGCACCGCCTCCCTCGCTTGTCGTCTGCCCCTCATCCGCCCCTCCCCTCGCCACCCTCCTCCTCCCGCCTCGCCTCCCCCCTCCCCCCTCCCGCCGCCGCCTGGCCGCTTCCTTTTCCCCTCTCCGCCGCGGCCACCTCGAGCGCCGGCGGGGGCGAGGGGGAGGGCGGCCGCAGGTGCGAGACGTTCGGGGAAGGCCATGAGGAACCGCGCCCTCGCGAGGGTGCAGCGCGCGGGGCCGCCCCGCCAGAGGCAAGGAGGAGGGGAGGAGAGTGCGCGTCGCACAAGTCCTGAAACCGTCCAACGAAAAATGACTCGGGACGAAAAGCTGGCTCTTGGGAGGGGGCCGGGACTTTGGGGACCGCGCACTGAAGAATCCAGACCATTGCCATTGCGTTTTTTAGTCTCTATATGCCGACGCGTGTCAGAGAGTGGAGGAGGAGGTGACAGAAGAGGAGGAGGAGGAGGAGGAGGAGGAGGAGGAGGAGAAGGAGGAGGAAGGAGGAAGACGGGTAGAAACAGCAGCAGCAGGAACAGGAGTTGGAGAAGCTCGAGGAACAGGATGACCAGGGGAAAGCAGGGTGAAGGGAAAAGAGTGGGTCGACAATGATGAGGACGCATTCGGATCCAGAAAAGTGGCCCTCGCTTGGACCAGAGCGCCATTTTGAACGACGTGAGCAAAGCGCCGATCCTAAAATGAGGCCAGCGCTGCAGCGGGAGCACGATTGGGAAGGACTAGAAGCGCGAATATGAGGCGATCGCTGCAGCGGGGACCATCTTTCAAGGGCCGAATGCGATCGGATTGTAGACGTCACGCACGGAAAAACAAGTCGTACTCCCGTGCGTAGAAACGCGGATCTTACCAAATATGTTCTGGACAGACTCCTGGGCTTACCCCGCACCGCCGACCCCTTGGGGGGCTGCTGGTAGGTCTCTCGGGGGCCTCCTGGCAGCACTTTTGATGCCTTTTGGGGGCCGTTTTGGGGCCTCTTGGAGCCTCTGGTGGGCCTCTTGGAGCCTCTTGGGGGCTTCTTGGGGCCTCTTGGGGCCTCCGGGAGGCTTCTTGGGGCCGAGGGCTCGGAATTTCAGATCGGGTCCCCCGCCTGGGTCCCATCCTGAGGCCGTTTTGGGGGCCTCTTGAGCCGTCTTGGGGCCCTCTTGGGCCGTCTTGGAGCCTTCTTGGGGGCTTCCTGGGCCGTCTTGGGGCGATCTTGGAGGCCTCTTGGGCCGTCTTGGAACTTGTGAAAGCCCAAGAGGCGAATGTGCTAAAATCATACGTTTCCCTTAGGGAATGCGACGATTTTTGCTTGTGGGGGCCCTCTTGGGACGCCTCTTGGGGGCCTCTTGGGGCGTCTCGGGGGCCTCTTGGGCAGTCTGGGGGCCATCTTGGGCGTCTTGGAACGACCCATCGGCGACTCGGGGCCCTCTTGGACCCTTTTGTGGGCCTCCTGTGCCTGCATGGCCCGTCGTGAGGCCCGTGACGCGTTGAGCGGGGGCCCGCCAGACCCCCCCCCACCTCTCCAAACCGACCGGACCAGGCCACGGGGGGAGGGGTTTGGGGAGAGGGAAGCATCTCACACGCCGATGACCCCAAGGGGTCGGAGGATTTCGGGGAACCGGGGCATTTTTGGCTCATGATTTGCAATCCCCCGAACCGTGCTTGCACTTAGGGGTTCTGGCTTCTTTCCTAAGGAGTGGGGCTGGTGTGGTGGTCCGGCAGCTATGTTGTCGTCGTCGCCGCCCGGTAGCCGCCTCGGCGCCGCCCGTCGTCTGGGCCTGGGTGGCGGTCCAGGGTCCGGCGGTTATGTTACCGCCGTCGCCGCCTCGTCGCCGCCCGTCGTCTGGGCCGGCGTGGCGGTTTGGCGGTTATGTTGCCGCGGTCGCCGCCCTCTCGCCGTCTCGTCGCCGCCCGTCGTCTGGGCCGGCGTGGCGGTCTGGCTGGCGGCTATGTTGCCGCCGTCGCCGCCTTTTCCCCGCTCACATGTATCGCATGCATTGCACACCACATAGTTTGCACAACATATACTGCGCACCGCATAGTCCCCCCAATCATCGCCCCCCCTGGGATAGCCCAATTTACATACGAGTCTGCCCCATCCTTCATTTAAAGTTGAGATCATGGCGTCCCAACCAGAGACCTTTTATCGACACCCTTTCGCATCCCTTTCATATAATCCGATGCGTTCATCAACAATCATCACTGTTGAATGATCCAGTGCAAACAATATGCCGAATTCGACGCGCGCGCGTCATCGCGCGCGCATGCCCAAATCCGTCCAAAGCCGTAGGTTTCGTACGGGTTTCAAGGTGGATATTCCAGAAAACATATTGAAACAACTATTTTGCAACATGACCTCGAACAAAAATACATGCGCGCTCTTGCGAGCACTTTGCGAATTGATGTTGCATGCGCGCATTCGCCCGTCGAATATCATATGTGTTCAATAACCCCTGTCACGACAATCGGACGAACTGCGCACGCGCGCGTCATCGCGCACGCATGCCACAACTTCCCATACGCCTCATGTTCCGCAAGGGTTTCAACATTGAATATCCCGAAGCCCACATGTTTAATAAGAAAACGCACGGATATCCTCCATGATAGTTCAAACAAGGTAAAACAAGGTGTATGCGCGCGTCGTCTTGTGATTTTTTTGTTTTGAAAAACCGTGATGGTTATTCAATTTGTTCATCAAATGCAACCAAATGGGGCCTTCCGCGCACGCATGTCGAAATCATTCGAACGCCGTTGCGCGGTTGCTGGGGGGGACCCCTGTCGCATGATACATTTTGCGCCAAATGCGCGCGTCGGCAGCGAGCGCATGTCGAAATCTTTCCAAAACGTTCATCGCCGACGCGTGGACGCCATCATCGTCATCGGCATGGCCAGGTTCGCATCGGCGCCGTCCTCTGCCATGCAGCCGTCATCGCCATCATCGCCACCATCTTCGCTACGATCACAATCGCGCGTGCCGTTGTCGACGTCGCCATGATATCGCGCCCGCCCGGATCAAACACTCGCACCGAGGTGCGCACGCGTCGGCGCGGCCCGCGAGACGTGGCGAGAAGTGTCGCCAGCGGGCATCGCCGCCGCGGCCGCGTCGGTCGCGCCACATTGGCGGGCCGCTCTGTGCGCGAGCTTGCGCGCGCTAGCGCGGCCGCAGAGATTCGCCAACCAGCGCCAAGCACTCAGTGCAATCCCCGCCGCGCTGGCATTGCAAGAATCAGATTGCGGGTGGATGTGTGAAATTGTTGGGTGAGCTCAGATGCTGGCAACTTCAAGTTCTGCAAGATGTGCCACACCTGCATGTTGCATTGCCCCACAGCTTGCGCAACCTAAATTAGGTTGCACAACACATATATTGCACAACGTGGGTTGTACCACATATTGCGCCACATGGGTTGCTGTTCGTATACTGCCCGGGCATAGAGTACACGTCATACATCGCACCACATTAGACAGCACAACCTAGATTTACTGCACTGCATATATTTGCACTGCATCTGTGCTCCATTTTTTATAAAAGGGAAATTCGGATCTACAACCGCCGCCCCCTGGCTTTTTCGGTTCCCCTCGGGATAGTACATATTAAAACTTGTTGTTGCCTCATGATTCATCCTAAACATCATTGTGACGGCAGTCGCCGCTCAACAAAGCACCGCGCCATGCAGCGCCAGTCAGCCATTCAGCGCCGCCCAGCCAACGCCAATCCGCGTCAGTTGGGCTGAGTGGCGTGGAGTGGTGCAAGTGACGCGGAGCGGCGTTGAGTGGCGCGGAGTGGCGTTGAGTGGCGCTGAGTGGCGATGATATGTCGGCGATTCTCGAGCCCTTTCGCGGCTTGGAGCAGTGCTCAGTGTGTGTTGTCCGCGGCGTTTGAACGGCGGTGAGTGGTGTCGAGTTGTGTTGAGCGGCGCCGATGATACGTTTTGACTGGCGCCGCGTGGCGTTGAGTGGCGCTTTGTGGAGGTGAGTGGCGCTGAGCGGTGGCGCCGTGCGGTGGCGCATTTGTGGCGCAACAGGGTTTTGAATGGCGTTCATTGGCGTTGAGTGGCGTTGAGAGTAGGAGGAATAGGAGGAGAAGGACGAGGAGGAGGAGGAGGAGGAGAAACGGGAGGAGGAACGGGAGGAGGAGGAGGAGGAGGAGGAAGAGGAGGAGGAAGAGGAGGAGGAGGAGGCGGAGGAGGACCGGACAGGAGGAAACGGAGGAGGAGGAGGAAGAGTCGGAGGAGGAGGAGGAAAAGGATGAGGAGGTGTAGCAGGAGGAGGACGAAACGGAAGTGGGGGAATCGGAAGAGCAGGAGAAAATGGAAGAGAGAAATTGGAAGAGGAGAAGTGACGATGGTGAGGAGGGGGAGGAGTGGGAGGAGGAGGAGGAGGAGAAAGCGGGGGAGGAGGAGGAAAAGTGATGAGGTGGAGTGAAGAGTGAACAGGAAGAGGAGAACCGAGGAAAGATTATGCCGAGGAGTAGGACATGGAGCTAAGAGGAGCAAACGGCCGCACATCAACCAGCTGCAGTGTATATGTGTATGTATGTATGTATGTATGCATGCATGCATGCATGCATGCATGCATGCATGCATGTATGCATGTCTGCACATAGAAATACGACCGCGCGGGCATATCGCAGAGTAGGCCATTGCTGACTAACACATCATCATGTGGAATAGTTTTGCCAACTCCATGGTACGGTTGGCTATTGATACGACGGGCTATGGTAACGAGTGTGCTGATAATTAGGAGGAGGAGCAGGAGGAGGAGGAGGAGGAGAACGTGAAAACAGTTTTGGCGAAGTGGAATTTGGACTGGGGTGCAGCAGGACGAAGGAGGAAACGGAAGAACACGAGATGGGACCTCGTCGGGATGTGTACTCGTTGATTACATCGCGCAATGGGTTTAGTAGACCGTGTTGTACACCAGCACAGACCCGCACAATATATTGCGTCAACCTTTTAACTTGTGCGGCCAGGGTCTTGATGATCAGAAGGGGGATGCGGTTCAGGAGGAGGAGGAGGAGGAAGATGTGGACAACGCGGGCGACATGGAACTTGGAGTGAGGAGCAAGAGGGCCATAGAGGACGGAAACGAACACGAGGAGTGACTGCGTCGGGAAAACATACTAGTCGCTCGCAGCGCACAGCGGAGCAAATCCCTCACCGAATTCAGGAGGCGGTCGGGGGCGCGAGCCTCGGCCCGCGCCCCCCGG